CGAAGTTCAAGATTCTCAACTCGAGGAGACGCAAGACCGTCCGCCTGGGAGTAGGCGAGCTCATGCTCCCCGCTTGCCCACCTTTGAGCACGGCGGGGGTTTTGTCATGGTCCGGGGGGAACTTGGAGCAGGCAAAGTCGGAGATCTGATCAAGATCGATGGACGGATGGATTCAGAATACTCTCACGGCGTATTAGTGAGGCACGCTGAGCCCTCCAGACTCCGTTTGATTGGTAGAGGCTGAAGGCTTCGCATTTCAACAGGATAATGATCCTAAACTTTACGCAAATGTCAAACCAAATGCAAATGTGCGCAAATGTGTTTACGCAAATGGTTACCTCCGGACTGATGGAGCGAGAAATCACCTGAGGATGATGACTGGGCCCCTGCAGAGTCCCGATTGTCCCGATCTGAATCCGATCGAGCTGCTATGGGAACACCTCGATAGAGCTATCAGAAACACCCCTATCACGGATGCAAACCAGCTCTGGGGCGAGCTGCAGAAATCAGGGGCCGACGTAGCGGAAGACGTGTGGGTCAACTCGACGTAGAGGATGAAGCGGATCGCGCGAAAGCTACTTCTTCGATGAGAAGAGAACCTGGAGCGAGGATCCCGATGGCCGTTAGCCGATAACTCATTGAATGAATTGGGATTCCAGTTTCTCGATATTTTTTTTGCGGATTCCATTGAGATGGAAGTTCGAGGCGAAATGGGGCGATAAGAAGAAAGGGAGACGAAAAAACTTCGCTCTCCCGGCGTTCTCGTGTGAGGGTACGAGTTTATGCCCTCCGATATCATTCCTGCCAGACTCCATGCTCATAGGGAGCTGGATTCTGGGCGCGAGCTCAGTCTATTCGAAGAGAACGAATGGTCGGGATTCCAGAGGTCTGTGACCCTAACCCAATCCCTGTGACCTCCCGTGTTCGACTTCTAGAGTCATCCGTTTCCACGATGCAGCCTGACAAGGATGATGATGAGAACGATGAAGTTGGTCGTGGGACCATTAGTCAATGATCCTACTTTTCAATGATGATTCCTAGGATACTCATTGCTTCGATTCACTCTTGTTCGGTTTCGAGAATTTCCAGATACCAGAACGATTTTGAATCAGTAGCAAGGTCTGCTTTCTCACGTCGAGCAACGGAATCCTCATTCTATGCTCACAAGTCCAATATGTCTGCCGTTATAGAATACCAGCCGTCGAGCGCGGCCCAGGGCCGCGATCACCGACCTCGGGTAAAGAGAACGATATCCGCTCCACAGAGCCAAATCCGTGCCTTTCGAACCACAATAGAAGGACAGCGTACCTCAGTACCACATGAGTTTCGTGGTCAAGAAGGAGGGTTTTTCGACAATCACTGGGCAGAGTAGAAGATGAGGAAGAAAACATCGACTTGCACACCGGGGCATGATTCCGCAAGCGCCGAAGCACATGTGCGCGGAAATTGGTGGGGAGAAAGAGCCGAAAAACCGTTCTCGAACGAAGCGCTTGCGCTTTTATTCTATAGGGGGGATAGGGGGGATACGAGCCGCTCCCATCCCGGAGTTTTTTCCCAGCTGAGTTTTGGCTCTTCGAAGAGAGTCTGAGCGACACGTTGGCAGCCTTAATGAAGTCACAGACCCTTCCTAAAAAGTCTTAGACTGTTTGCGTAATTTCAATGCGATAATCTTCCGCCAATCTAGTGGATCAAGCATCCTCCTCCGAGAAGCTCCGCCCCCCCACGTTCTCTCACCCCCCCATGTTCCGAGAAAATCATCGATAGGAGGAGGAATGTGAGGAGGGGAGCGAAGCGATATGAAGTCATCTGCGAAGGATTCCCAGAATATTCAGCTGAACTCCGACTAGAGATCTCTCTCGCCCAAGCAGGTCCTCGTCAAACCTCGGCAACAACCACCGCAGTGAGCGACATCATCGAGGGAACGACCGAGTTTTCGAACGTCTGACAAGAGAGATCTGGTCCCACCTCGATCTCTCGAAAGTATCGAGTCCTGCTAGTGTCAAACTGATGAACAGCAGATCGTGATTTTCGAGTCTTCGCTAGGTGTCGCCTTCGTCGCAGATGAGAACCTGATTGGCGGACTCCGGCTTCGAGCTCGCTCCGACATTTTCATGACATGTACTTCGTGTATTAATACAGAAGCTCTCACTCTCACCTTACCCGCGAGGCAGACCTATAGTACTCTGATTTCACGACCGCGAGTCCGGATCCGACGCTTCGAATCAAGGGACGTGATCCAGCAAAGGCTTGAAAACGAAACGCCGCCGGGGCTAAAGCCAGTCTCAAACAGCGCGGACGAAGCCGCACTATAGAAGCTCGCCCTCGAAACCCCTGGCTGCATGAAACCGCGAGAGCCTTCTCTTACCCACGTCGCCGCAGCTCTCGCAAGAGAGTCGCGGTGACATATCCTCGAGCAAAAATCGACGGTCTTCCAGCAAGAGTAAAGGGCCTGCTACTATCTGCTCTCCGCGATAGTCCTTTGCTGTTGTCTTCATAGCCGATCGTATTTACAAAGCATGGAATCGGGGGATGCGGCGACCATCCTCTTCTTTATTTATTCGTCCACCTTCGGGACGAGCGGATCCCCGGGAGTTTCCGCAGTAATCTTACGATTCTTCCGGCAGGCGTGTACGGTGTAGGTACGCTTCGTCGGGCAATCCGAATTTGATTCGCGGATGGTTTCGAGCCTGGTAATCGAGAGCTCTCATCTGTTCTCCCTCCTGGGGCGACTTGTGCGAGCATAACGAACGACAATGAGAGATATCGATTCTCAAAGCGTCAAATCAAGGTTCTGGAAGGAGGACAGAAGAGAGTGATCTCGCCGGCAAGCGGAGCGGGAGACTTCGACAGCGGGCGAGGAAAAATAGCAACCGGAAACCATCGGCCTTATCGATTGAATAAGATACAGACCTACGTATCGAAGCTTCGTAAAACAGACTCTTGGAGCCTCCCCAGAGGCAAGAGTTTATTCCCGGAGGCGCGCACAGGGGGCTAGGCGAGGGGCCGCCCCAGAACCCGCCGGGCGTAATGCTAAAGTATGAACTCCGGAAAGGCGCACCTTTTTGTGGCTCAGCTGCGGACTGCTGGCCGGATCTGCAGATGAACCGGCGAGGAGTTGCAGATGAACCTGATGAAGTGGTTCATCGGCGGACTCCACGATCAGAGCACCCAGCAGGCGATTCTTGTCAAGTGCGCCTCATCCAAGAACTCTAGCGAGGTTTTCTCGAAAACAGAAGAGCTCATCAACGCAAGGAGATCAGCGACAAAACTCCGAAACATGCCAACTCAAGCGGCAAACAATCTCTATAGGAACAAGCTTTAAATCGGGAGCAGGCCCTCAAAGGCGACGAGGTTCGTTCGGAAGAACCGAAATTCGAGAGATTCCCGACACTCGATTTCCGCAAGAAAGTGTTACAGATGCGGGAATCCGAAGCACCTAGCCCCTAATTGCAAGCACAAAAGTACCGAATGCAACAGCTGCGGTCACTTGGCTTCGGTGTTTGGGATAAACCAAAATCACTATCTGCTCGAAGAAGTTCCTTTCAACTGTGTCAATTAGCTTGATAAGATTCAGACACCATCTCCATGACAAGATTATTCAATAAATTTTTCTATACACTGTGTCAACTATTTGGACGAGCATCAGGAAGCACCAATAGAAGTAATGCTTCGGAACCTCGACAAAGACGTGAGAATTGAGCTCGATACCGGGAAAGGTATATCCACAATTGAATATTCGACATACCGGATCGGAGAGTCGGACCCGGCAACGCATTATCCAAGTTGCCGTTCCTGCCCGAGGTTTGAACTCTGCGTAAGGAGTCCACAGCAATTATAGGGGTATGAGCCAGAGAGCGTTGCCCGAGCCAGAGGACTCCCCGAGAGCTTCGGCCTCTGGCCGGGGAGTCTCTGAATTCCCAGTTTGCCGACGAGAGTAAGCATATATAAGCATGACCCAAGCTGAAGCTATGTATGCGGATCGCAATAAAGGAAAGATCATCTCTTGGAACGAAGAGCACACCGATGTCTAGCTCGACCTCCGAGACAGCTTTTTATTATACGACTTCGGTCAATTCCATCGTTGTTGACTGATATGTGGGTAGGTAGTTGTCGTCGCTACAGCACAACCTGGGTTTCCGTCCGTCGGTTTCTCCTCTGCTTCATTTCTCCGTATGCTTCCTCGTTTGCACCTCCGCGACTCAATGTTCCGTATGGCAGCTTTATTTGTCTCGTACAACAGGCACACATTCTTGATGACCGACGAATCTCATGCACTCACGGGCATCGCGAATACCACGTCTCAGGGATTCAACTTAGGAAAGGTAGCATTTCTGCGAAACAGAGCATCGTCCGAGGAAGACTCGTTGGAGTTTTTATCATTCCTGCTCAGCACGTCCTCTCAACAATTTCGGCTTGACTCATATCGGGGAAAGGAACAATAAAGGTAAGAGTTATTCTAAGGCTGATGCGGACGGCGGTCGCGCGAATCTTTCAACCTTCGCGCTCGTCACGAATGTCGATGTTATCGAATTCTTCGACAGGGATAGGGGGAAAACAAGAAAGAAAGATGTGGCAGAAGATCAAGTCTCGCATAAATCATCCATCGAATCTTCGGAAGAGCCTGAACTCAAATTATCTTCAAGATCACGCCGTTCGTTGAAATTATGAAAATTCCTCGATTCCATCCTCTCGCTAGTGAAATACTAGCTCGAGTTCAGAAACAAGCTCTCGCTCGTGACGGTAGAGGAAGGCAGTATGGCATCTCGTCACTGGTACTTCACCACCTGTGCTTCTCTGTTTGCTTGTTTGTTTGTTCGTCCCTTCGTAGGCTTCATTGATATTCGTTCCTCTCAATATGTGTTCTGGCTCTTAAATACGCGTCCTCTCTGTTTGCATGCTTATTGACTCATTGACTTTGGGAAATCTTCCGTCCCGTAGCCTCGTAAATAAAAGATGGATGACTTGATCAGCTCTGAGCTGAGAGATTGGTTCTCAATCCCTTACATATCCGACTGGCCGTAGAGCATAGTAGAGAACGAGCGGTAGTCGAGGCCGCCGGGAACGCCTGAAAACACAAGGAAACACCCTCAGAACTTCAATACAGAGTCGTAGAGACGCTTCCTGCGCCGAGCAGGGGGATGTCGAGAGTCGACTTCCGAGGGGAAGCCGGGAATCGGAGGGAAGTTCGAACGTGACTGACCGGGGTATGGCTTCATCCTGCGAATGCAATACTCGGCCTGGTCGGGTGGAAGTTCTCGTCTGAGCTCAACGTCGGTTATGTAAGGCTTGTCGCCGGCAAGAATTCGGAACGAATCGATCGTTTGTTCCGCGGTGTCACGCTCGGTGTACTCTCTCGTGAGGAAGTCCAAGAAGGCGTCGAAATGTACGTAACCTACGAGGGAAAATTGAAAGAATCTGATCATCTAATCCTTCCTCATCCGAGCCTGGAGCGCTATTGCTTCGGAATACACTATGCGTACCGGTCATGTTCGGATCCACGCAGGCCAAAATCCTTCGGAACTCGGGTCCGTCGGCATTCCTGACGTTGTATCCGAGCGAGACGAGACAGCTCCTGAACTCCTCTGGAGTAAGTCTCCCGGTTCGTTTCTTGTCGAAGTGATTGAAAGACGTTCGGAACTCGTTTAGTTGCTCTTGGCTTATTCCTTTGGCGTCGCGAGTGAGGATTTGGTTTTCGACTTCGTTGATGTTCCGGTGCACCGAGGTCACGAGTTGCTCCCAGCCGACGCGGAGGGTCTCCATTGTGTAGTTGGTGTACTTGTTCTCGAAGATCAGAGCTTCCTGAACTTGTTGATGGATCCTCTCGAGGTCGTCGACGTAAGGTCTGAACTGCACAACGGCAGCGTCGTATTCGTGCAAGGTCTTCAGCTGGACTTCTAAGCTGCCCTTCATACCCATGCCGATCGAGTTGACCTCATCGATCTTGCGTTCAATCCAGGGTCCAACCTGGTCGGCTTTCTCGGCAAACTGCCTGCGTAGATTCTCGTTGCATTGTTGGCGGACCAGTTCGTTCTGGAGGGTGTGATCACGCTGCGGGACCAACTGCTTCACGTCTCCCCACTTTGCCTGAATCATTCCCGGAGTCAGCGTCGTGTAGGGGTTCTCCAGGCCTCCGGGAATCTGTGGATGAAAGCGCATGTCTGTGAGAGGACGCATTTCCGCCGTCGATATTCAAAATCAATAATCACCGCACAGCTTCGGGTCCGTCTCAGCGGATGATTAGAGACTGAATGTGGAGCGTGTACGAGTCACGTCGGATACGTTTTTGTGGGCCCTTACCTGGTATTGTGTAGCCAGCTGCTGAACCTGTTGGGACAATCCGATGATGTTCGAGTACTCGCGGTCGGCTTCTCCCAACGTGTTCTTGAAGGACTCGTGGGCGTGGATGAGCTGTTGAATCTCTTCGACGCTGTGCACGATGAACATATCGACTAGATCTTCACGCGCCTGGTCGAGCCAGTTGTTGAACGGTGCGGCGCGTTTGGCGAACTCCAGGTGGAGCAGGTCGACCTTCTCGAGGATTCGCTCGGCCTCGTCGAGAGCCTGCCGACGTTTCGTTGTTAGCGAGCCCAAGCGGTCCCATTGGTCGCAGATGCGTTGGCAACGCGAATTGATCGATGCGACATCGTGGTATCCAAGAGCGTTCAACTCTCGGGCGATGGCGGCGATTTGCTCGACGCGGTCCTGATGGGCCGCGAGGTCGGACTCGAAGGCTTCGTGTTTCTTTTTCATGGCTTTCATCTCGTTGAGTTTACAGTTCCTGAAGTCGTTGGAAACCAGCATCTGTTCCTTGCCCTGAGTCCATTCCTCGTGGATGTCGCACTTGTGTTTGAACTTTTTGGCGAGGTGATCGAGACGCTCCAAACGCATCATCTCGGATAAAAGCCATTCCTCGAATCCCTTCTCCGCGGATTCTAGCCCTTTCCACGCACCGGTGATGTCCGACACCAATTTCCCTTCGGATGGAATGAACGCCGGCCGTCCGCTGAGACGGAGTTTCGTCTGGAGGGTGTTGAAGGCGGTCTCGAGACGGGCTTTCTGCTCGACACGCGGTGGTTTGTGCTGTCGACGATAACAGCGAAACTCCTCGAGCTTCTTCTGGGTGCCTGAGGGGAGAAGGAATATTCGACTTTAGTCGAATAGAGAAGCCTGAGAGGAATAGGCGTGGGGGGGGGGGGGCTTCTCCGCTCCTATCGCCGTATCATCGATGAGGCCTCGACTGATGGTCGGATGCCATGCAAAGTACCGGCTGGCAAATGTGCAAGAGGGAGAAAATTCGCTTGACCGAAACACTCACCGGGGAGAGTATTGTCAGTGGTCCTGTTCTGCAACCACGGGGTGGTCCGACGGATCCATTCCAAGAGATCCGACGCAAGACGTTCGTATTCCTCCATGAGACGCTCATTATCCTGAGCTCCTTTGAGCACTCTGCAGATGCGGTTGGCGGCAGTTTCCGTCTATACGAGCGAAACGAGATTAGCATATACGCGGATAGGGAAATCGGCGTTACTCTAATCAAGCGAGGAGGGGTCAAGAAAAACGATCGGGTCTCGAGTCGCAGCTATTCCGCCAAGGAGCAAAACCCAGTCAACTTCTCGTCGCGGGAATTTCCCACCGAGTAGTCGAACTCAACGGTCGCGTGTCGACGGCAAGGGTGACCGTTCGATCAAGATCTACGCAGGGTAACGGGACAAACCTGGATGGCTCCGCTGAATACGTGGTAGTACGATGAGATGTAAGTCATTATAGCACGCTCGTCGGGCATCGCCACCGATCCGACATCTGTCACAGCAGCACGCAGATTAGTTTCCACACTCGAGACGTTAATCTACATACAGCTATCTATCCAGCTGCTCCGTCGTCGCGGAGGATACTGGGACCATCTCTTAGTGGAAGACACTCGGAGCGCTTGCCAGGAGTTATTTGACAAGTTTGCAGGATTGTTAATTAGGGAAAACGGGAGATAGGGGAAACGGAGAGGAGTATCAGGCAGACAAAAGTTCCGCGCAAGGCATCACTCCCGCTTGCCGAAGCTCCTCTCTGGCTGCGAATAAGTGAGATTTGCCGACATGTTAACATGGAACAAATGCTCTACGCATCCTTACATCCCACTCGGGCTCATTTATCCAGTCCTGGCTTACGTGTTGGGCGCCCTGGAGTGCATGGTAGTAACACGACACGTACGTCATAACGGCACGCTCATCGGGCTTGGCCGTATACACCATGTCTACAAAGCTCGTAGGTCAATATAGGGCGCGGTAGAGATTTTAAGCTTCTACGCTCTTATCTACGGCCTCGGAAGGGCTTTCAGTTCTTGGGGGGATGAGATCGACTCTTCTCGATTTCTGATTGAGTTCTACCGGGGGAATATTGATCTCTGAAATTCATGAGTCCTCTCGATGCCAGACTTTCCCGACGATGATGGAATCTAGGAGAAGTTCGGAATTACCTTCTGCGTCCAACATTTTGGGGATGTTGAGATGCTTTTCGGCGATGTCGAAAGCGAGATTGAGGTTGTGGATCGGATCGTCCTTTCGGAGCTTTCCGTAGTCGATAAGGTCCGGCCGATGCCTGTGGATGAGAGCGCAAAACGCCAGCCCGTCCTTCCAGGACAGATGGAAGTTCTGCACGTTGACGTTCTTGTACGGCGCCGTCTTGCGCTGACACCACAGCAAGAGACCCTCTTTCGCGGTCATCTCCTCGACGGAGATGTCCTGGATGGCGAAACGTAGAATGATCGTCCAGATGAGACCGAGGGTGATCTTCGAGTTACCGTCAACGATCTCTTCAGCGCCGATCGATACGAGTTTGACGCCTTTCGACTCGATGAATTCCAACGCCTTGTTGACATTGGCGATTTTGTGGAATCGCATCTTGCCTGAAATGGATCGATCGTCAATACTCTCGAACGGGAAGTTGTTCATCTGATACTGTTCGGAGACAAAAATAAAATTTCCGCTCCCCAGTCTGGCTTCCACATAATTCGGGGAGTCCGTTCCGCTATTAGACAGCGTAGATCTTGATATCGAAGGCGCTCATCGTTCCGAATTCCCGGTGGAATTCTTTGCGAGTGCACTCCGTCTCCAATTCTTCTCAATTCTCCCTCTCGAGAGATTCGGAGCTCCTCGTCCATGGGCAGATACGCAGCGCTCCGCAGTGAGGGAAAGTCAACCGTGCAACATTCGATCAAACGACCCCACCAGCGGATAGTTTCCCGAATAGCGACAGAAATGATAGGGCGAACAGATGTTTGAATCTTTACTTCAACGGACCTGGATACGACGCATGATCTTCTCCAACAATAAACAAAGAAATCAAAGAGAATCGTTGTGCTTGCCGTCAGACCGTTCTGTCAGTCAGTCAGGCAGTCATTGGTCGCTCGTTCTCTCGCTCGGTCGTCGTTCGTCGGTCAAGACTCAATGAATTTCGCTTTCACGTTCTGCTGTGCCGACATGTTGTGCTTTTGAGGTTGCTGTTATTGTTGTTCCCTTTTTACGGGCGATGCTTCCACGACTCTGATCGTTTATCGCCGCGATCTTCGCTATCAGAATCGTGGCGTTCATAGCGCTGCTCATCATGAACATGCGCAACTTCTCTAACGCCACCCGCTCGGACGGTGGATGGAAACGGAGTCCGTTCGGAGAAATGGTGAATAATGAAAATGACAGTGAGCTAAAAATCCATTCACCGCAAGGAGATCAATTAGTTCGTCCCAGAACGCGTTCAGGGAGCGAGGGGCGCATCAGTTGGGGATCGAGTTATTGTTTTCTACCGTTGGGGAGTTTTTTCTCCACTCGTCGTTACAGAAGAAGTCGCAAGCCAGCAAAAGAGCCGTTTATCGCGATTCGGCACCCGCGTGTTCCCCGTGCTGGGGCTCACAGAGCGAGAACTCGAGGGCTACGGCAAGACAAACGTTTCATTGAATGAGGGACGACGTTCGACAGACCTAGTCGAAAGGTTGAGAAGCGCCGTTTTTTTTGCAACAATAACGCATTAATCCGATCAGGGAGGAGCGGAAGGACGGTGTCGCTATTCGGCCGGTCGAAGCGCAGAACCGATTTGCGAGGTCGGCCCGTCATTTCACATTCAGAGCGTCGGAACTCTGGTTGTGGAAATATCCCAACCTGCTACATAGGTACTCCATTCATTCTGGCCAAGATAAAAAACAGGAGAATTCAATTGTTGTGAATCGCGAGATCACGTACTCCATCTAAGACCACGACCGGGTCGCGATGCATCGACCCCGAGCGGGGAAGTTCAATTATTTTCGTAACCAGATAATTTTCTTCTGAATTAAGTTTTCATCTCCCCAATCGAGCGTGTGGGAAGGCGTAAGATACTTTGCCAATTAAGCGCCGCGCGGCTTCATGGCGTTGTCAGCACGCTCCTGCGGTTCTCAAACTCTCGAGCCGCTAAAGGGCATCGACATCGGCATTCCCGCGTTGCTCTGACTAACTGAGGCAAGGCTTCGGTCGAAGCGCTAAAACATGTGGATCATCGCAGCGTACGTTCGGACTGAATGAGTCGGAAGGCTCGGACAGACGTCTACGATCGGAATGTTGTGTTATCGCGCTCACCTCGGTCGGGTTTCCCGAGAGTTTCTCCTGAGATGACCTCGAGAAGCAGCATGAGTTTGAGTCCATTGCGGAAATCTTCCTCAATATTATCGATCTGGGTTCCCGCTTTCCGCAAGTGCGAATTGCACCATGCAGTGAACGTCTGGAAGATAATTTCTCTCGTTAATATATGATTCACTTCAACCGTCATTCGATGTATGGCCCGCATAGACCGCTAGACACCCATACAGGTGTTTATCCTACGACGAAGTGACAGATTCCATTTCTGATTACATTAGACCCGCGATCGGTAGGAACTATTATTTATCACAAGAACCACAATCCACAGCACCCAGGAGCGGTACGCGTCCCGACTCGCGGTCGGGGTCGCTCATCCCGAATCAGATTGTTCGATCCTTGTCCCATTGCTTATAATAACAATAATAATCAAGCGCCGTCAGATGGTCCATCTGCTCAACGTGTGCGTCGAGATTACCGTATCTGTATTCGAGACTACCGTACACGAGTCGTGCGTTGGCATCGACTCGCGTAACGCATCACCTCAAATATAGTTTTCCGCAGTTTTCTATCAGAAGTTCCCATCGACTCGGGCATTGGCGATGCAGCCACGTGCATAGTCTCCCTCAGGCAGGGACCCGTTCCCAACCGTTGCTCTCCCATGGAAACGTCGAAGATGCGAAAGGGATTCGCTCCGTATTTACGTGCATGGCTTCTTCAATCATGACCACGCTCAACGCGGCCGATGGACACCGGTAGGCTTCTGAACGGTCGGCCGGTCGATCGTTTCAGTCGCCACTGTTGCTACCGATGCTGCTTGTTCGGTGACTGCTCGCTTGTGCTGCTGAGTCAGGAAAAAGCTATGCAATAGGTACAGCAGTGAGCTGGCCAGGAAGCAAGTGGGCAAACCAACAGAGCCCGGAACGAAGCTGAGGTTCGCGCCAACTCACACACACAAAATAGTAAGCGTGGCCTGGCAGCGAGTCATGGCCGTCATCACCGTCGTCGTTTCCGCGCTCTAAGTTTCAATGAGGCCGATACGGCTCTGTTTGTGTACATACCTTCCTACCTACATACATGAGAACGGTGTTCTATGGAAAGATTCCGGCCTTGCCCGAGAGGGGGCCGTAAACGTTGACGCAATCGGGTTCAGGTAGCTCCGGATGTCATCGGCATCCGGTGCTTTCCCGGAAAAGTGGGATTAGGTAGGACATCGACTCTGGCGGAGAGCATGAAATCTCATTCGGCGGGTCGACGCAATGTCAAAAGCCGCGAAAAGCCTCTATTCGTCTTCTTCCCTCCCGTTACAGGAGCGATAGAGGCTCTGAACGCCGCTCCTCGCGGTGGTCGGACACGGAATTCATCTTCTCGCCCATTGATCTTCGTGACAACGATGTCTTACAGAAAGCACTTCTGACTGACCGATGACACCAGATAGCAGCGAAGGAGAACGCTGAACAATAGATTCATGATCTTTCTGGATGCTGGTGAAATGAATGCTTCTCTCATACCGAAAACTCCACTATGGTGTTCTGCTCGATTTGACGTGAGATTATTCGCTCCACTTGCGCTTGAGGATATATATTATGATCTATGATATTCCAAAGTTTTCCAGCCGGCCGATCCGAAAAATTAACCCGCAGATCCTGAGAGCGACTGGTCCCCTTCTACTGGATTCAGCGATTTTTTTCTCTCATCGATGTGGTAGTCATCTCTGCAACAGTATATCTGGTTCTGTAGATACCTTGTGAACGTGGGCTTGTTCTGAGCAGTGCAATCTCGGCGAGTGGGTGTTTGGGAACGCTATAGCGGCACTACCGACCGACCAATGAAAAGTCAAGGAAGAGGGACAGGGCGCTCTCGGTCTGACCAGAGGAAAAAAAACCTGTCACGCCCAAAATCTCGCGATATAATTCACTCGCCTTCAGGAAAATCCACAAACGCAGCGGAGACCATCGAGGGCGGGTGGCCCGAGTATATGGAGAAGCAGCTCGGAGGTTCTCTCTTCAGATTTTTTCCGACAGGAAGGCTTCATCGGAAACGGACTTCAACCCGAGAATCTCTCAATCGGGCGCATCCGACAGCTCGCCCGCGCATTTCTAACATCGGTCATCGGCACTTGCCAGCAGCTGGGCGCATGCAGCAACCACGTTTCCGCCCACATTCATGCTCTGAATGCATCGAAAGATTTTCCCATACTATTGTTCAGCTTCGAGCTAACGACGTTCTGGCTGAGCAGGTGACCGACTGCGAAAAATTCTGCGATACCGATCATATGTGCTGACCTCATTCATCAGGTCAAGGACTAGAGAAGCCTCATGAGCTCGACATTAGAGCCAGGCAATTGCTCTCAAGGTCAGTTCCTTACAGCCACCAAAAGAATCGGAAATTCGCGCGAAAATAAATAGAGGAGCTTCCACCACCATGTGGGCGATCGACTTCTGCTCAGCGATTCCGGCACAAGGCATCCGGAGTCTTATGCTCAACTTACGTTAGGGGAGCCTCGCGCTCATTGCGGGGCGCGTTCGCTGATTGCGATCGCAGCCTGGGGCCCTAGCCTGAATTCACGGCCGGCGGGGCTGAAAGCAACCGCGGCCACGACTCAGCTGTCGACCCGGAGTCGAAGCGGAGCCTGCTCCCGGATAAGCATTATTGTTCGGAAAAATGCAAATCGAAATTTCCCGAATCTTCGAGCGGTTGGGCGACGTTAATTACCGTGCCAGCACGTGCGTCGATAGGATCGCAGATTCCTCTCTGACAACAGCGCGAATTGCCTCTTGACGAATCGCCACAGCCGAGTGTGGAATTCTTGAACGATAATGGGACGACAGAGTCGAACCGTGTCCCAAATATGAGTGTCAACGGTTCAGGCCTTGACAGCCCCACCCGGAGGACGGAGGAATTTCAAGCTTGGCCGGCGGAAAGCGTTCCGATTAGGTCGCACTGGGTTACGCGTCTAACCTCGGTCAACTGTCGAGTTTTTCAACGTTTTCGCCTTGACCAGCACTCAATATTTCCACCCAGGCTCATCGTTCCGAGCTCGACCGAGACCGTTCCCTTCTCGTCTTACCCCGATTCGGAGGGAATTTCCAAAGGTCTCCCGAGTTTACGACAATGCTTCCCCTTCCTTGCGCCTCATTTTTCTTTTCGTTCCGTAGGAGCCACCTGTTCCTTTCCAGCGTTCTCGTCACTGGAGACGAACGATGACTGAATCCTAGGAAAAACAATCTCGGTGACAAGCCCTCTGTATCTTTTAGCGGACACACCGAGCTACCAACGCCTAAAACTCTTGAGCGGTCTCTATAGACGGGAGGATGACTGATTTCCTCGGAGAGACTCAAACATTGATGAGTATACAGACAGCGGGCCTTCCGAGCGGATACGGCGACAGGAAGAAAAACAACGAGCCGTTCCGGCTGATAAATCAGGAAAGTGGCCACATTTTATGAAGATGAGTCGTGTGCCGAACGAAGGGCTCCGACTTCAGATCCGCAGAAAAGCACATCATTCAGCGGTAAAGAGAGACTGAGTTTCCGAAAATCGTAAGTCCGCCACGTGACAGCGGTGAGACGAGTTGAAGACTGAATACCTCTTGATTCCCAGCTAAGTCCGGGTCGTGGGAGAGGGGGGCACTGGATGAAAAGGGGAAAGAATGAGACCTCAGGATATCCAGCACTCGTTCAGAGTCCTCGGGAATTCAAGGGATTCATCTCCAGCGGTGAACGATCAGGTGATCCGGAGCAAAACTATCCCCGAGATTCTGACCGCTCTCGCGCCTTTTCTGGCTCATTCATTCGTCCACTCGAAAATGAATCCTGCCCACCGGAATCGTGTCAAGCATGGTCATTCAATATAAAATGACCGAGCGTGGCCACTTGTTTACCCTCAATGTCGGGGTCGACTCCCTGAGCGCAGCCTGAAAGCGAATCTGAAACCTCTATTTTTTCCCTCAACCTTCCGCTCTCTCAATCCTAAAAAATGGCTTCTCTACATTACAGACTGGGATTATCCATAGAGCTCCTCAGCGCGAGATCAGCTTCGAAAGTCTTCTCATAGCGTCCTGTCTTGCTCGTTCTCGTCATAGAGTAACTGCCGATCGATCAATGTTTGGCCAGATTAGTATCTTCCGAGCTGACGGGCGTAGAATGAGAGCTCGTCACTTCCGAAGCTGTCAAATTAGCGGCAATTCGAAGGATCTCCGAGATCGAATTCTCAATGGCTCCAATGGGAAGTCCGTCCGGGAGTTTCCCGCATTTGCTCTTTGAGTTTTTTCCGAAAATCTTCGGGTGCAACTGTCGCGTCGCCACGAATGGTCGCTTCGACTCAAACCGCTCGTCTCGTTCTCGCTGTGAAAACATTGCGACTCGATGGATGTCGGGTACATTCGATATCTCGCCTCCAGCAGCAGAAACTCTTGATGTCTAGCGAATAGCCTCTGTCAATGGTGGTGGTGTTTTGGCTCGCGGGCCGCCACGCGAAAAGTCGAGCCGAGGCTAGAAATCTCGCATAGAAACAATCGAATCCCGGAAGACGTAACAAGAGGCCAACGCTGTTGAATGAGCCGGAGACCAATGAAACGAGCCACGGGGCGAACCCGCGTTGCACTAGGTTCGTCTTCAAGAGAGACTCGATCGTGTGAATTGTCAAGCAGGTCCCGCACCGGCGTAATTTGTGCCCAGGAGACCATGACCACTGACAGTATTGGTGGTGATATGAAAGAGCACACAGCAATGACGCAGCTGGCCGATGTTGTTGAATCGACATAGCGGCCTTTGTGCGGCGGCTGCGGTTTCTGCCAGCGCCGTCGCCGTTGCTACCGCGGTGGACGGCTGCTGCGGATAGAGCGCTGTCCTCGGCTCTAGTTGAGCATGTGCAAGTCGACGTGAGACTGCAATGCAACTCCTCAACTCTGTACGCTGTGATTCGAGAATCGTCGTCCTTCGTTCGGCTGATGCCGCCCAACAGCCCACTCTGCATTCCTCGATCTGGTAGAGCTCAGACCGTCGTCGGCATCCGCTTCTTCCGCGAGGGCCTGACCACCGGTAAACTCGCAAGCAAGCTGACCGTATGGCGGGTGGGCTCGCCGATGCGGAGCGAAATCTTACAAGCGTCGCTTCAAGTCGAAGGTGAAGAAAAAATTCGACGCTTGAGGGTGGTGGCTAATTTGTCCAAATAAATTAAATTGACTCCGCGGAGCCGATGAGCGCCTGAACTTTAAAGACCGGCGACTGATCTGTTCGGGAAGACACGTCTAACGGAGCACCTTGTGTGGCCGGCGATGTTTAGAACGGAAACGATCGGACGAACACACTGGATGCCACCGTGGTCTGGGACGATCTCGATCGGCGCGAGAGACGGATTCCAGGACAGTTTGTTTTTTCTATTTCCCGCCGTACTGCATGCATCATCGTCAGCGAAATTTCATCGATGACCTGAGGCCGCAGAGGATCCGGAACGAACCTAACAAGTCGAACGCTTCCGTCGAGCGGGAGCAGGAAAAAGAGCATCGAGTAGATCTAAATACATCCCCATATTTGGCTCTGCTCACTCACAAGCATGTTACCATAGTGGATGGAACAGATCCCGAAAATGAGCGATCAACACTTTCCATCTGACGGAAACTCTGCGCGAGAACCCAGATGGAATTTTCGCCTCGGAAAGTCTTTGGGTATGCCCTCGCGGTGAACTCGGATATCCGACCAGCCGAAGTTCCGACGCTCGCTTAGAAGATCTTCTGGCCTAACGGCGCGGTTCCGCCTTGTTGCTTCACAGTGCATTCCCGTGACAGCAGCTGGCGGTGGAATCAGTGAACAGCGAAATTGACTCGTTACGTTACCGATGAGCGATATCCGAACCGTGAATTCTTCGAGAGCACACATACAAGCCTACGAGAATGAATGGTGATCACCAACCTTCCTCTGCTGTTTCTCCCAGGCTGGATCCAGGAGACCCTCACGTTCCCACTCTTCTTCTTGCTGCATGTAGCCTTCCTGGGTCATCATCCTGACGCCAGTGCCAGGACTCTCGAGGGAAGCCGAGGAGTCCACACACGAAGCACAAACTCACTGCCGCAGCAAGAGGAACTGGAGAGGAGATAGATGAGCGAATGCCGACGAGCGGGCACTGCCTGTTTGCCGGTGTGCCTTCCTTGCTTGCTTCGTTCGTTCGTTAGGGTGGCAAGCTAACTTGACTGCCAGCTTCCAGGCCACGAAACTCGCTCGCTCGCTCACCCGCCCTCCCTTCCTTACTCTTGGCGAGTCACTCTACCGAGGCTGGCTCGTCGTCTGACGACTGGTGGACCAGCGTGTTCGCTCTGCCTCACTCTCCGCCCGGCTTCTCCGCAGGTTGCCACCGCCGCGGCCGCCACCGGCTGGAAACCTTGGTCAGACTCGGGCTCAGGCCCAGTCCGCGAGAAGCACCACCCAAGCCAGAGTGCTCTGGTCAACGAAGAGAGGGCCGCGACAGGCCCGCTCTTCAGTCGCTCGTTGGTCCGTTTGCACTTCACCGTCGCCGAAGACGTCGATTTGAGCGTTCTCTAGCCGGCTAGCCGTTCTTGCGCTGCACTTTTTTCCGTGGCAGTTTCGCTAGCAGCGGCGAGCTCTGACAGTCTGTCAGTCAGTTGCTCGTTGGTTGTTATTAGCGGCGGCACCGGTCGTGGCCAGTCTATATGGGCTCACTCAGAAAGTCCGCTCTCCTCTCCCGAGCGATGTGTTGCCGCCGCTGCTGCTGCTGTGAGAGGGTGATCCGTCATTACTGTGCGCCTCACCCCATCAGACGCGCGTAGCGCATCGTGTGCTCTTGGACGAAAAGCGTCCGGAGAGTTGACATCTCCATTCTGACCTCGCCGGTCGACCGCATGCCGAAGAGTGAGTTTCCCCATCCTCGATCGGTTACGTGCAGTGCTGCTACCGCGCCACCGTCTCTCCGACTCTCAACCACCCCACCTCACTCAGCTGTGGGGATGACAGGCCTTAAGCAGGCGCTGTACGCAGACTCCGCCACCGCTAGAATTTGAACTTTGAGCGCCAACTCCTCGTGAGCAGTGAAGCCACTGACCATCTGGTGGTTTCTCGACCGGATCGGCGCTCCCTTCAATCGTTGATGTACGAATTGTTTGGGGGTGTTTGAGGTCGTATACGATCAGAGAAGACGCTTGGTCACTTCCAGTACATTAGCTCAGAGCTCCGTTCGGGACTTGGACTTTCTGCGATTGAATAAAGCTCATCTGACAGATTTTTTCCCTGGAAACCGAACCATTCTCGCTGAACGAGTAGTCCCGAGCTCGACGCGTGACGCTCCGTATCGGTTCAATACGTCGAACATGATCTCTTCGGGAAAAAAAAAAACTTCGCATCGAGAATCGAGACTCTCCTTCCTAGTGTGCTGTTGGTTCATTGCCCTCCTCGGTCTCTGGGATGCTTCGGTCGGGACTTATCTTCAACGGATGGTGGTGATATTACGGCATGGAATCCAACGATCTAAATCTATATACGATCTCTCTGACATCTAGACATGAATGAATTCCCAATTCTTACGAATCGAATCCCTCCCGTAGACAACCGATCGAGCCGGATCCGTCAACGAGTGCTAAGTGGGCGATAGATGGGTGAAGCAAGCCTGTGCGGAAGTCGCTCCGACATATCGTCCGAGGTTCAAGAGCACGTGTCGACCACGAGTCCCGAATTAGCACATGTTATCCGACGTCTGTCTTGAGACACTTAATGACAAACTCAATCGAGTCCGTCCTCGGTATGCGTGTCCGGCCGCCTGGGATGTCTCCTTCCACGGAGAGACTGGTATTGGTCAAGAAGATGAAGTCCTAGGACGTCCGCAAAGGTCTACAGTCGACCCTCGTTTATCGCAATTGACCGGTTCCAGTCTCTGCCGCGATAGACGAATTTCCGCGATTTCCGATCTCGATTCTGGAGACTGCTATGCCGTTCCAAGAGCAACGCAGGCTGCTCTGGGATGTCTTATCCTTGTGTACAGGCTGGGGTCTCCTTTATCTTCTCAGCCTGGAAGAGCTTCTGACAGAGGACACAGACTCATTAATTAAAATGATCAATGATACGGAACAAATCATTGACCTTGCGACCCGGAATAGCTCACGCAGCGGCCGACGAGCTGGAGCTCGGAGCGGTCAAAGACTTTGACGTCTTCCGAGCCTCCCAATCCGAGCACTCCGACTCGGTCTTTGGAGCACTCGCAAACATTTCGAGGAGGAGAACAGGAGGGAACTCATATGCATTCTCGGGCAACCGCGATGATAGATTCGCAAGAAACAAAAAACAGGTTTATCCAGAATCTCAGGGACATTATAATCGTGAACAGCACAGGATATTTTTGACGCTCCCTCGACCTACGCCTTGATATCCCTCCGAGCGAGCTGGCTCATTATTCAAGTTTACCTCCTTCCTCGAGCTACCGATCCGAGCTCCTGAGCCTATCCACGGGCCACCGCGAATTCAATCTCCTCCGCTCGGACTCTCCGGAGGCCGGGCATGTTCACAGATCCTCGGTCTTCCACCGATAAAAGTATGTGGCTTCTTTCTCGGTTCGCTGGGACCGCTTGAAGAACGGCGTGACTAGGTAAGTGACGCTTTTGCGCGAACACGCATTCGAGCGGAACCTCCCTGCCCGGTACACTCAAAATGGGGCATCCGAGACCTCACCCCCAGAGATACATATGTAAGGAGCCGGCCCAGATATTTCACCTGCCAGGGAAAGGGGTAGCCCTGCGGTACAGCGGGAATGTACAGAGGAAGATGAAAAGTCGCACCATTTTTCTTTAGCGGAATTAGGCGTCCGAGGGCCTACCATCGATTCTAGCTATCGGTAGAGCGTCGACACTATTGAGAGTGAATCCTCTTCCATTCGCGTCGTCGGATCCCATCTCTGTTCACGGGCATCTTCCTAGCGGTACGATTCTCTTTAGGTGCTCATCAGTGCTTGTTCATGTTTATGTCCGAATTGATGCGGAACTTCACGAGGAGTATCTCAATGATTCTTGTGCTGCAGTTTCACATTCTCAATGTCGGATATTCGTGTCTCGGTTGGGCTCAGAGCTATGCATGGATCTTCTTCACGACTGGGACGCGATAATTTTTGATTACGATCGATACTTCGGTACTGAAGCCGGCTTACCACAAGTGGGTTGTCATGAACGGGACAAGAACTCCGAGAGCGCTCTCCGAGCAAATAGAGAGGGAAATCCGAGGATTTTTACGAGGCGGGGGACTTGTCCGGATCTTCGCATGGGAGGAGGGGGTTATGGCCCCCGAAGCCGCCCGGCGGTTGCGCCTGCTCATAGTCCGGCACCCGCGCGGAGTTATCATTTCAGTTCTTCTTTTCGGACATGATGATGGTGCCAGAAGGATACGAACTGTTCGATGAACTGGCGACTCGAGGACAAAGTTCATTCAGGCCTTCTCCAAGTTCAGACAGATAATCGTCCTGACTTGACAGCGGCTGGATGGTATAGCTGTCAGTGCGTGGTGCTCTGGCGCCGTTTATGGCTATCGTCGCTCGCTACCCGGCTCGGGAAAATGTTCGATTTGTAGGCACACAGCAGGCGAAACCGGATTGATCGGTGTTGAGAACTTCTTCAAAATCGAAGAAGTTCCTCCTCTCGACTGCCTGTTCGTGTTTCGGAAGCAGCACCGCGCCGCTACTCGATTTTGAATGAGTTCTCGATCTCTGTGGTGCTTGTGGGTGACGAATCAAGGGTTTTCCTCGGAGCTCTCACTAAACTTGGCGCTCCATGAATGATTGGACATGAACTCCGAGAGACGCGATTCTCTCCCTATCTGCAGAACCTCCAACCTGACCACTCGATCATGAACGATGAGTCCTATCGCTCGCGAAGCCTCGACCATGATGTCGCCGCATGATTGGGTGAGGTCAGAATATCGTATAAGAACTTTACCGAGGAGGGCCTTGCATTTTCTGAACCTCGGTATGAGGGATTCGTCCTCCAACCTTCTGATTTTCCGCCGGATCGCAGTGAGCCTGTGTGTCGACATAATCGAGCACCTCGAAAACGTGTTTGGAGGTAACTCGTGCACCTTCCATTGAAGTTTTCGTGATTCGTGAGCGAAACGGAAATGCTTTACTCATGGCGTGATTTGAAGGCTCTCCAGGGAAACGAGCCGCGGGATTCCGCCTGTCGCCTCTGAGTGCAGCAATTGATTCGCAAATGCCTCGCAGGCACCTCGCGGAACCAGCAAAATCTGATCGTTGAGGCGAAAATTTGCAGAGTTGGTTATCTTTGTGACGAGATTCGACTGTGATCGAGGTGATTTCCTCACTACGCTCAGTCAGTGATTTCCTTCGCGCGATGCTAGCCGTGAAGCTCGGAGGATCGTGGCATGCATTCAAATTTTCGCGGGCTTCGTGTCAGCTGTCACAACATCCTCTCGCCGCTTCTGCTACGACTGCTGCTGCTACGACTGCTAATGCTGAATGGACTGACGAACGAGCAACGAACACCGATCAAAGGGAGAAACTCGTTGCCCGGAGCATAGTTTCGAGTGCAGTCGTGACAGAAAGACGTTGATATGTGCGCTTGCACACGGAAGCGGCTGCCCAGAATAGCAGCTGCATAAGTGAGGAATCGACGAGCGTTGGGAAGAGTTCGAAGTAAACACGACATACGGGAGCGCCCGGAAAACCGAGGGCCGTATTCGGGTGTTAATACCTCTGAGCGGAGAGGCCTGAAAAACCGCCAACGCTGGCAGCGAGCTGGTAAACGCAGATGCGATTGAGGTGGACCGTCGGAATCTGTCCGCTCGCCGTCTTCGACGTGGTATCGATGTCGATGTGAACTCTTCCTGTTTCTGTGAGTCCGCGAACGAAACTATCTGAGCGGCTCAATTCAGTTGATGATCCAAGGAGAGATATCGTACCAGCCGATAAGTTCCACGGCGGTCGGGAATTTGTGACCCTTCATCTTCAATTCTCCATCCCCAGGTACTTGGTGAGTGGCATGTATTGGAACGGAAGTCAGAAACGGTTGTAGTAGCCGCCTGGTGTCGTCCCAGTGAGAGGGCCCCTTCCTGATCCATTTACCCGAGCAGACACCGAACACATGCACTTCTTTGAACCCACGGCCTGAACACCGGGCGCGATTGCTCCTCGGTGTTCTCGAGGGTTCCGTGCAATATTTTCGATAATAATACCTGGATCTCTGTTAGCATACCGATGTAAAATCGAATGCCCGTCTGACTGTCCACTCCTTGATATTCCCACCCCAGCGACGCGAATTCCCTCATTCCGGGAAGGGATTTTTCCGCTGAGCTTCGCGCTCAAGAGCTTCGTAGGTTTTGATTTCCGATAGGTTTCCTTGGAGGGAGATCTCTCAGAACCCGGGACTGAACAACCGAATCGCTCAGTTTTATGCCTGGATCGAGGTTTTTAGCTGACGCTAGGCCGGTTTTCTGCACTTAATTTCACGCGGAGAAGGATCGCTGTTCGCACCGATCACCAGCCGACTGTGTGCCTCGTCCCCGGTTGATCTGAACGAGTCTCCGCGAACGATGAATTTTCAGGAAGGATCAGCTCACTTGGAGTCTGAGGCGATTCCCTGCAGAATTCTCGAACTTATCGTTGACCTTCCCTCACAGAATCGACCCCAGGACAATGGATATGGGTCTCACTGGCAACAATTGGTCGGGGAGCGATATGGCACCCTCGACCTTGCAAGCTGGAGTAAACGCTCTCGGGGGTATGGTCGGAGGTGTCGGTGCCCGAGTCATGAGAGGTCCAGGCTGGAAATGGGACAAGCAGGACGGCGGAGAGGGCCACCTGGGCACAGTTCGGAACTTCGAATCCCCTGAGGAAGTTGTCGTTGTGTGGGACAACGGCACCGCTGCGAACTACAGGTGAGCTCTCATCTGACCCTCCGAGGCGCTGACCTCTGACTCGCAATCCCCGCGATCGGCGCAACGGAGTTTTTCTGAACGTGATCTGAAAAGTCAATTTTTCTAGATGCTGTGGGACTTACGATCTCCGAGTCGTGGACAGTGCACCAACAGGGGTCAAACACGACAACACAATGTGCGACAGCTGTTGCCAGACGCCAATCTTCGGAATTCGGTACGTCGGCAGATCTCGATACGATTTCTTTTCTGAGGAATCGACCTCGTTGATAGATTCGAGTCCGATGGGCACAAAGTGCTTGTGTAGTCGACCCTTCAATAGGTTCCGGAACTCCGTTGGTTTCTGCAGATGGAAGTGCGCTGAGTGCTCATCGTACGACTTGTGCTCAGTCTGTTATCACGGCAACAAGCACATGCTGTCACATCGCTTCTACCGAATAGCGACACCCTATAGCGAGAAAGTTCTCTGCGAACCCCGGAAGAGGTCCAAGAAGGTTTCCCTGCGAGGAATATTCCCCGGCGCGAGGGTTGTGCGGGGCGTCGACTGGCAATGGGACGATCAGGACGGCTCCAGACCGGGCAAGGTGAGCGGAATTCCATCGCTTGGCACGCTTCCGCAATCAATCGAGAATCAATCTTTCCGCCCGAGGGAGACCAGACAACCGATGAACGAGAGATCGCCACATTTTCAAGGTGACCGAGATTCAAGATTGGAGTGCGACGAGCCCAAGGAGCGCAGCGTACGTCCAGTGGGAGACAGTCTGTGTCCGGAATCTGTATCGGGTTGGTTTCGAGGGCATGTCAGATCTGAAAGTTCTTCAAGACGGGAAGGGAGGCCACGTTTACAGGTGAGCTTCCCGAAAGAAGAGTTTTCTGTAGCCTCTCCTCGCTAGGAAAATCGTTTTCCGCATAGCTAGCGATCTCCGAGAACGTGGGCGAAATGCGCTCGGAATGTAATCTCGGATCTCATCATTTCAGAGACCATTTGCCGGTGTTGGGTGAACACGGAAGTCTCATCAGCTCTGTAGGACAGCTCAAAGGTTAGCATGATGCCGAGGTAGGCATCCGGATCGTCTGCATGATTTCTTCGGAGAGCGTTCCGATGCCCTATATGTATTATGGTGACAAAACAACCGATGACAACTATTACAGTCGGAGACATGGTCACCATCGAGCTAGAGGCAAACATAGTGAAGAGCCTCCAGGTTGATCACGGGGGATGGGCTGACGGCATGCTGGAAGCATTGGGCAGCACCGGTGAGTGTTCGAATTTTCGCTCAATCGATCCCGAGACGGAATAGAATTTTTTCTCCTCTCGGAATCCGGTGCGAGCGCTGGCTGTGAATATTTTCATTGTAGCTGATTTCGAAGTTTGCATCTCTACTCCCCACAGGTACCGTTGTCGGCATTGATGAGGATAATGACGTCGTCGTGGCTTATCCGTGTGGCCGGCGATGGACATTCAACCCTTGCGTTCTGACGAAAATTTTCACCTCATCCAACGCTGCTCAGACACGGGGTGCTGCCACGACAACGTTCACGGCGAACTTGCTCTCCGAAGGAGGCGCCACGGGCGGAACCTCGTCCGGAAGTTCTCCGGATGAACTCCAAGTGAATGATTTCGCGCAGATCTGCTCCGATGTGGAGCGTTTGAAAATGCTGCAACAAGGTCACGGCGACTGGGCCGACGCGATGTTGCTGAGCGTTGGTAAAATCGGTCGGGTGCGGCAGGTGTACTCCAACGGTGACGTCAAGGTCCAGGTTCAGAGCGGAGAGTGGACATTCAATCCGCGAGCTTTGACAAAGATCCGCCCGGACGCGGCGAAGGTGAGGGGAGGGATCGCTGGGAATTCCATGGAAGGGGTTCGAGAATTTTCGGTCTGATTCAAGCTTCGGAAGTACCGCGAACGATTTTTCCGAGCAGTACAAATGAATAACACTCCCTCGGAAATTCCAGGGCTCCGGTGATCGCTTGATGAGCCAGCTCCTGAAGCGCTATTTCGTCACTCAATCCACCGGGGATATCAACGAAGATCTTGTACGCTCGGCGGGCTCAGGAGACGCTCACAAAGTCGAAGAGCTTCTTAAAAGGGATGCCGACGTCAACGGCGTCTACGAACTCCATACCGCGCTGCAAGCCGCCTGCCAGAACGGGCACATGGCGGTCATACGCGTCCTCCTGACGTACGGGGCCGACGTCGAGATCGAAGGTGAGTTGGAAGCGGAGTGGGAATCCTCCGAGGTACAATTCACTAATTATCATTCCGCAGTATCGAATTCATGCAGATCGAATCTCCTTACTCATCTGAGCTGCCCGCCCTTTGCAGATAACCACGGGGACCGAGCAATACATCACGCGGCGTTCGGGGACGAGCCCGGCGCCATTCAACTGCTTGCGCAAGCTAATGGCGATCTCAACGCTCGGAACAAACAACGTCAAACCCCCCTCCACATCGCTGTGTCGATGGGACATAAGATGGCGGTCGAAATACTGCTGAAGTCCGGCTGCCACGTCAGCTTACAGGACTGCGAGGGCAACACGCCGTTGCACGATGCGATTTCAAAGAAACGCGAAGACATCATGCAGCTCCTACTGCAACGTGACGCCGACATCTTATTGGCTAATAACAACGGTTTTAATTCGCTGCATCACGCGGCCCTCCGAGGCAACCCCCAAGCGGTTCAAGTTCTGCTGGATAACCTCATGAGCTCGCAACTGCCACGATGGTGGATCGTCGACGAGAAGAAAGACGACGGCTACACCCCGCTCCACTTGGCTGCCCTAAATAATCACCACGACGTCGCCAAGCTCTTGATTTCCAGAGGTAATGCCGACGTCAACCAGCAAAACCTCAATATGCAAACAGCGCTCCATTTAGCCGTGGAACGTCAGCATCAGGAAATCGTCCGACTGTTGGTGAATTCCGGAGCGAACTTGAACGTCAAGGACAAGGACGGAGACACAGCGCTCCACGAAGCTCTCCGCCACCATACGCTCGAGCAGCTGAAGCACCTCCAAGGAACTGCCCTCAGCGTGAACGTGGCTCCCTTGACGTCTAGTGCATCCAGCATCAATTCGAACATCCCTGCGTTGAACGTCGGCTTGAGCGCCAAAGCGAATCAGAGCTCCCAGGACGCGTCGTTGGACGCGGGGAATATCAGCGCACAGATCGCTAAATATCTCGTGAATTTCGGCGCAGATCTCGGTAAGGCTCAGTGAGGAGAACGAGAGTTATCGTAAGAGAGATGAAATCTCCAACCTCCATAGGGGTTCGGGAGAGAGCATCTGAAAAAATTGACTTCCGAATTTCAGAGGCCAGGAACAAGAAACAGCAGACCCCTCTAGATTTGTGCCCTGACCTGAACCTGCGAGCGGTACTGATCAAAAGTCAGCGGCAGATCCCGCAACAGGCCTCGGAAGAGGAGAATGCTTATGCGACCGTGGGAATCCCCCCGACCGAGGCGATGGCCGCTCTGAGTTTCTCTTGCCGGAACCTGCCGCCAGTCCCCACGTTGGGTCTGACTTCGCGGCAAACACCGCAGGCGAGGATTCCATCTCCACAACAATTCCCACCGAAAGTCGCCAGGCAGAAACTAACCTCAACGGCTAACTTCGGCGCCGACGAGTGCATGGTCAGTTCGGATCTCGAGAGTTGAGTCTCTCTATCGCAATCTAGGGAATGAGGGAAGTCGCTTGCGGGATTCCCTCGCTAGATCGTATGTTGTAGAGAGATGACGTGAGTTTTTTTTTCATTCTCGCAGCTCTGCTCCGAGCGGCCTCCATGCACGATGTTCCTACCTTGCACGCACATTGTATCGTGCGAATCGTGCTCCCCTCGAATCAAGAAGTGTCTCTCGTGCCAAGCTCCCGTGCAGCAACGGATAAAGATTGAGGAGTGCGCGGTGTGCACCGATAAATTGGCGTCGGTGCAATTCTCTCCGTGTAATCATGTTCTGGCTTGCGAAGACTGCGCGAAACTCATGAAGAAATGCATCAAATGCAAAACCGACATCGTCATGAAAACCGAACTCAACCGGCCCGCTTTGCACGAAGGAAACGTAAGTCCGTCACTGAGCGATATCCGGATGAGAGACTAGCGCTCGAACGTTCCCAGATCTATGAGGACGAAAATCCTCGCCATTCATTAGGAGATCATCGTTGACATTTTATTTTCTTCTCGTAGACGGTGGAAGGCGTCCGGAATAACTGCGCCTCTGCGCGACCGGCCCCGACTTCGGCCGCGGTGAAGATGAAGGACAACAATGTGTACTTGAGCAGCCTGCCCTCTACGTCGAAACATCGAGAGAACGACGATAGGGAAAAGCAGAAACTCCTCCAGGAACTCAACGATTTCCGGGAGAAGACGACCTGCCCTGTGTGTTTCGATCGTTGGAAAAACATGGCGTTCCTCTGCGGTCACGGAACTTGTCAAGCATGTGGCGACAGGATTCACGAGTGTCCGATCTGCCGCAAGAAGATCGAAACGCGAATACTGCAATACTGAACGCACTGCCGGACCTTCACGCATCCAGTGAGCGGCGGCTATAAGCTCGAGGATCCACTTTCCATCGCGATATGGAACTTTTTCGAATATAAATGCCATGAACCCAGGAAGAGAACTCGATCTCAAAACGTAAATTGTTCCGCGGGACATGCACCTGCAGGGAACCACGACCCGTCATCTGGCGGAGAACGGAGCGTGGTTCACTTGGGTCTGTACATCACAGTGATGATTGGTCACAGAAGTTCGCCGAGAACGCATCAGAATAAGCGTAGACGTAATTTCTCAGCGTTGACATAGATGCATCGATGTATTCTCAACTTCAGCTCCATTGGTGGAGTGTACATAAGATAATAAATTGTTCATTGTTCCCATATCAATTGGAAGTAATCTCCTTTTGGAGGTTCGATTTCCCTGAGCCGACAGTACGCAACGTCTCGGGTTCCTCCAGGGAAGCTCTAATCACTGAATCATGATGCATCGAAGCGTCGTTGGTGTTCGCGGAGGAGTTCCGTAGCGCCTCCTCATTTTCGGAAAATTATATTGGGAACTCGTTGAACTTCAGACGAGTATCACTCTCTCACTTTCGTTGTGAATGACCATCCGGAGACGCTTCCCCGATAACTCGGCTTCGGATCTCCTCATTCATGACTTCTCATGCGTGACTCCGTCAGCCGACATCGAAGATAACATCATCGATGTAGCTCCAGAAGGGGCTGGTACGTTCCGATCTTCCTCCGGAGTCGACCCCATGAATCTCTCCAAGATTGTGCCGGGATCGAGAAAACGCTCCCGGCCTTCTTCTGAATTGGTCGCCCCCATAATCTGCGACAGAGATCTGACAGGGGTTTCCTGATGCTCGATCTCGAGGACAGTCAACTCGGGATCCGGTATCTCGGCTCATTCGTTCCTGTGACGCTGACTTCTTCGACGAACCGCGGCGGTCCTCCTCGGATGGGCAATTTGAGTGTACTCCGACCGCGCCAAGTTTTGCAACAGTGCTCTCTCAACCAATTTCCTATGAGAGTTCCTGACAGACCAGAACCCCGGAGCACTTCTGTGAGTTCTCGAACGACCTGGCCTCGGGATTCGCTTGGCTCACTCTGCCAAGGATCTTTCGGCCCATCGAAGTCTGAAAATGCGCTTCATTCGAACATCGTTTGTCTCCCACCTTAGATACGTACGTGGCACCAATCAACGACGATGAAGATTCGCGGTAATTCGCTCGTGACTCACCTAGTGTTATAAGTAAGGCTGGGAATCATTCACGGCAATTTCCTCGAGAATTCACGGCAATTTTCACCCCCTATTGACTTCCTATGGAGGATCGCCTGAAAATGCCGTGAAAATTCACGGCTTCCGGCGACCGCGCCACCTTCCCAGCCCTAGTTATAAGTTATGACTTATGACTCGTACCGGGCATAAGAGGTGCTCACATTCATTCCTTTACCGCTGTCCCTTCTGAGAGGTCGCCTTCCCACCGACTCATTGCGCGAGCTTCGACTCCTGGCGAGTCTGGACTTCCAGTACGGTCAGTCGAACCCGTCGGGAGCTAGACCGCTGGTCTGGAGAACTCCTCTAGAGATGCCATCAGGTCGACGAAGGAGAACGCGGTGGAATATGACAGAAATCTTGTTCTTCTTGAGTGAAATCGGCAACATTCCGACTCCCGAAATCCGCCGCCCCCTCCGACGATCAAGCGGATCTGCGAGCTCCCTGTGACGCTCCTCGCCACCCAACTCCACTGGCAGAGCCCATTGTATCCTGGACACTTTGCCACCCAATCAGGCTATGTCGGGATCTCCTTCCATCCTCGCAAAACAGGGGAGGCTATCGGAACTCGTCGGGACACCATTGGAGAATTATGCTCTTGTAAAAATGCAGAGACGACGATGGTGATCGACCCCGTTGTGGATGCCGTCATCACCAAGCTTTTGGCGGCGCGCAATGTCTCCGGCCAGACTGATACCAGGGTTGACCTCGGACTCCCCGAGATTATCGAGATCACGAACAGGGTCTCCCAGATTTTCAGCGCTGAATCGATGCTGTTAGAGATTTCACCACCCTTGCGAATATTCGGCGACGTTCACGGTCAATTCAATGATTTGTTGAAACTCCTCAACGGAACGGGGATTCCTCCCGAATCGAGATATTTGTTCCTTGGGGACTATGTTGACAGAGGGGCTCACTCAATTGAGGTGGTTCTACTGCTATTTGCATTTAAAATCAAATATCCAGGCGACGTCTTTCTATTGCGCGGTAACCACGAAGTTCAGCCCGTCAATCGACGGTACGGATTTTTTCACGAGGTCACGGCGAGGTTAGTACTTGTTGTCAGGAATTGCCCCTTTCCGGTCAACACAGGTGAACTCCCTCCATGGAAGGCGTGTATTGATTTTCGCCGATTCTCGATAACGAAACGGCTCGTCGACAGATACAACGTAGAAACCTACCGTAGATTCGGTACTGTCTTCTCGTATATGCCGGTGGCTGCTATCGTCGGTGGGAAGATTTTCTGCGTGCACGGCGGCATTTCTCCCGATCTCCACAGCCTTGACCAGATTCGAAATATACCAAGACCGGCCTTAGTTCCGAAGCAGGGACTACTGACTGACTTACTGTGGGCTGATCCTGACCCGAGGGCCGACGGTTTCGCTTTTAACCGGGAGCGGGGCGTTTCAATTGTTTTCGGCCCGGAAGAGGTGAGCAGCGTCATCCAGTACTATGATGACGATGATGTCTCGTCATTCCGGAAGAGAGCGAATTTCCCGAGAACCCTCCATTTTCTAGGTCAAGGACTTTCTCAGAAGATTCGATATGGACCTCATATGTCGGGGACACCAGATGTGTGCTCAGGGTTTTCAATTCTTCGCCGGAGGAAAACTCATGACCCTGTTCTCGGCCCCGAACTACTGCGGACAATTCGGTAACGCGGCCGCGGTATTGAGCGTTCAAGCCGATCTCAAGTGCGATGTGAATGTGTTCGTGCCGCTACCGCGTACGCTTTCGTGCAGTGAGTCATCGGTTAATGACTCTTGACCGTGGGGAATAAAGCATATCAGTTGAGCTTGAATCCGATCGGGGGCATGGATTCCCCTCTGAGACAGAGAACGAGGGAATAGCCTCCCGACCGGATGGGCGCCGGCGAGGTCCTCGGCCGAATGTGGAATTGGATCGAGACTTAGCTCGAGCCTCGGAAATTTCTTCCGGGACACGCTCTCAACGATCGTGTTCTCGTCTCGAGCTTCCCGATAATTCGCCCAACACGATCAGCGAGAGGGGAATCAAATCAGCAACATGGTCTAGGTCGCGGGGATGTGTCGAGGCAGGAACTGGGAAGTACCCGCTCCGCTCGTTCCCCGAAAGAGTTCCTCGGCTCGAATAATATCTTGTTCCCAAGGCAGAGGTCTTCATTCCGTTGCCGCCGCTGCTGCTTCGGCCGTTACTGCAGCGACCCGGAGCCAGACTAACCGAATTAGGAGACAGTGAGCCGGGCAAGCTACCGGACGCCGCTGTAATACTGTTAGCAAACGCCTCAACCAGTCCGCAGTGACTCCGTCTTTAGCGTCTTCTTGTCCTCGTCGTCAACAATGAGGATTCACAGGCGCAGCAGCCGCGAGCAAAGGGTCACACACTGATTCACGCAGGCAATGCCCCGTCGAAGTCGAGGAAAAACTTGTCCCGTCAAAACTTTGCCCCTCCGCCTCTATGAGCCCGGGCTGCGCTAAATGCCTCGTCAACTGATTCGGGCCACGGTCGCACTCGCCACCACGGAGTTGCACGAATCCAGTCGCTCGCAAGTCGAAGCCGTCCCGAGGCAAGGAGCGGAGGACATCTTTTCCCGGGGACATCTCCTCACGCGGGACTCCTGCGGAGGAATCACGGACGGACAGAGCGATCGATCTATCGATTGATGGACGCGAAGCTCCGTAGGTCTAGGTTGTTTGTTGCTCTCCCTTGCTTGCTTGCCTGGTAAATTATCGAGTTCGATTAATTCATCTGAGCACGACGTGCAGCTGCACTGCTTGATGTATTATTGAGGCAACAATGAATCAATGGATCTCTATTAGCTCGCAGGGCAGGCCAAGCGGCTTTCCTGCACCATCGGACTCTGTTCAGTTGGTGGTCTGACCGCCTACCTCTATCTCCAGGCGGCATACTTTTGACAGAAAATCAGGTAGAGTGCATGAATGCCTCAAGTTTTGCTGAGCGATATCTATCATTCAAAATGTCGTTGATTAGCTAGAGACAAAGGGGGCGGCAGCAAAATGTCAGCGACAACAACATTGTCGTTTTTGCTGCGCCCATTACGTGACCTATCTTCTGCTGGAGGCGGCGTGACGTTGTCTGAACGAACTTCCTCAGTAGCTCAGGACGAGGTAGCGGCCTCCCGCCCGACCGACCGACCGAATGACGCGAAAAGGAAGACGGTCTTATCAGCGAGGCGCTGTATCCACCGAGATTTTTAGTTCAAGGTGGTCGGTTGCAGCGTGGGTCTCTGTTCTTCCCTAGGAGCAGCTCCACCATCCGACTGCAGCGAGGACTCTGTCGCTGTGCTTCAGCAGCACGTCTCGCAATACATATAATCTTATCTTCATGGAGTCGTTGTTAACTAAGGTCTAATAAAAAGTTCGAAAGCCGTCGAATTTTCCCGTACGCGCTTTGGCGACGATGACTCACGGACGGAATGGGGGGGGGGTGAGAGGGCTCGACTGATATTCCCAATTTCGCCTTCCATCGTTCAGCAGTATCGCCCAGCACACTGTGGAGGAAATTCGAGTTCCGAATTCGCTCGTCAGGAGCAGGTCAGATTTTCGAGAATAGGTACTCGCTCCGTTAGCCGTAACTCAATAATTGGGCATTCTAATGGAAAAATTCTGAGCCCGATCACAGCTCCTAATCGACACTTTTCCCCCTTGTTGACCTCGGCTTGAGGTTTCCAGATAACTCACTTTGGGAAGTTTCGGCTGGAGCTTCTGATCCTTTACCCTGGCGAGATAATGAAAGAGCGAGCGAGCGAGCGAGGGACCATGTGAGTGAACATTGAATGTTGCGTTGATGAATCTTCGGTCCTTGATCGAGTCTAGCCGCGCAGGCAACTAGAAGAAGAGCGCAACTGGAGAAACTTGTGCCTAATAGAATCAACAGCGTCGCGTCATTATAATATTCAGGCAAGATGAACGAACGTTCGAGAGCTTTCAATGAAATTGGTTTCGAGACCTGAATGTTCCCGCCGAGTTCAACTTTTCAATGGTAAGCAACGCGGTCCGCTAACGACCTGGTCAAGTATCGTGCGCGCAACGTTGCGCTGCTCATCACGGATGACGGCGACGCTCGTTGGTGAGTCGGCTCGGCGATCGCTTGCACAAACTTTCGGAAACCGAGCCTAAGTGCCTAATGATTCCACAAAGCTCGACGGATGAGCCCGCAGAAGCGATATCCGATTCAGATATCTCGTGTGCTTGGCGTGCATCTGCGTTTTTTCTCCATCGAACCACCAAGAACGAGCGATTGGCGGCCCTGGTAAATTGGTACGGGGGGAATGCTGATTCAGAGTTTCCCGAAATCGAGGGGATTCCGTCGGAATTCAATCGGATTCCACAGTATGAAGAAAAAACAGTTCCCAGGTTGGCCGTCGGATGCGCGCGGAGCTTCGGTGAAGTCTTCGCCGGGAACGCCTACGTCGAGAGGGGACTGAGTGAGAGAAAATAGGGTGTTTGATGGGAAACGAGCTATTTGGAGAAAATCGGTGGCTCGGCCTGGGAATTGTGGGCTGTAGAGCTCTCGATACGTTTTTTGAAGAGAGCTTCGGAGATCGTCAATTTATTTCCATTGCGCCCAATTGCGGTGAGAGTGCCCCTGGAGGCCCAGATTTATACCCTCCAGCCACCGCTTAGGTGACTGCTTTCGGCATGCCGAAGAGCTTTCTCACGCTCTTTATCCAGAGTGATGATCTCCACGATTCCCCCCCCCATTACGCCAATTAGTCGGCGAGCTCGCCGGATCGCTTAGAATCCCCGAATCAAACAAGAAAGGGGTGCCAGGTCGCTTCATCGCTCCGTCGGTGGCGAACTTGCCCGTTCGGTCGCTCGGTAGGCCGTCCTTGATCGGCTCTGACAGTTGACAAAACGGCGCTCAGCTCCACGTTGGCTTGCTACTTGACAGGCTCGCTTCGCTCGTTCTAAGGCTCTTGCCTTTCCGTGTCCTCTCGTCTTCTCGGCCGGCTTTCTGATATCAGTCTCGCTTGCGTTGCGGGCCCAGCAAGACGAAACGACTTCCAGACTTTGTCTTTCTGCCTACAAGACGAAATCGCAATTCAGTCCTGGTAATGGAGTTCGCAGAGAGTTTCTCGATCGCCATCAACCCCAGCAGAGCGAGTCAAGCAGCGAGTCAAATAAGCGAGCAGGGAGGCAAGCGTGCGGCTGGCTGGGGCGGGCGGGCCGCATGCAATATCCTTCTGTCAATTCATCGTTCGTCGGTGTCGTGATGCTATCGCCCCTGAAATCGTTTATGCAACCTCCGGGTACCACGCCTCCGATCCGTGAGAACTCATAGAGCCGCTTCCGGATTGGATTTTCCGGCTGGGACGATGTTGCATTTTCCGAGACAATAGGGGAGAGGCGCGATGCGCGCGAGTGACGTCCGAGGAGTCGTATCTGGCGCCCGAGGGAGAGGAATGAAAATTCCTCTCGATACAAGAAGGGAGAATCTTCATTCTTGCTCCGTCCCTGAATGTCGGGCCGCGATTCGACTTGACGCTATTCTCATCCGTGAGGAGCTGACTCTGTCGGCAAGAAGTCCACTTTGCTGAGTACACACAGGTTTTTCTCTGAAATGAGCGGGACCCATTCGTCAACCCCCGCAGACACCCGTCTCAAACCCGCGAATGCAGTTTTCCCCTCCTCCAGGGAGACGTATTCGTCTCAGTCAGACTCGGCCGAGCGCTCAGGTTCCTTCGAGTCCGTCGAACTCTTTCGATTCCGTCGCGCAATACGAGCCCTAGAGTTCATGGGACATTTTTCATCGAAAAAAAAGTCGAAACGTCTCCATGGCCTAAAAGCCTCGTCGTCGAAAGGAGGAACTCCGAAGGGCGTTGGTGTGTCCTCGCCGGACGGGCATGACGACGAACAGCGGTGGACCGAAAAAAAACAGAGGCTTTTATTAAAATTACAAATATTGATTTATCGATGCGATTGCTCGGTCGGTTCGCTTTCGGCCCGTGGCCGGACGCCCGAGCGTCGGGTGGGTCGGTCGCCACTTCGCTCGCTTCCAGTGTCTTTCAGAACACGGAGCCATTGTCTCTTAGCTCTCGAATGGCTGTATTAACAGGTTGGTTGGTCGCCTGGTGGCTTGGGTGGGCGAATGAAACGGAAAGAGGAGCCCACCGGAGCGGCGACCGAGTAGGAAAACTAATCGCAAAAAAAATGTCTGGAATAATTAAATTCTCGGAGGGAGGCTTTGCGGCGGTCCGTTTCTTTTCCTTCCCGCCAGCAGCAGAACTCCGCTGTGTATTCACTGCCGAATCGGCTGATAAGTAAAATCAAGCAGACAAGTACGCCGTTGAGTGAGTGCGATTGTTCATCAAAGTCTTTGAGCGAACGAGAGACAAAAGAAGGAGTTTTCGCGCTAATTCACTCCTCTCTGATTAGTACTCAACCTGATTCGGTAGCGGCAAAGCAGCCTTTTTGTGTATCGGCCTAAGGTTGCTTCCCGGTGAGTCCAATCGCCTCTCTATTTGTTTGTCCGCTTGCTTGCTCGCATGCTCTCTCCTTTCCTTCGTGCTCCTCGCGTTCGTTTGCACAGATAATCATAGAATCCGAGCAGCATAGCCGGTGGACGTCCTGGATAAATGAATAAATCGTTTGCGGACGACTGAATGGGAGACTAGGAAGAGGATAAGCGCGATAAGAAATACGTAGCTTCAGTGGAAACAGCTCGGCTCATTCCCCTCTATCCTCTGCTGGATAAACGGCCGAGCCGTCGTGTGCTATTCCGCCCGGGATGAGGACAAATGGAAAAGAACACCAACAACCATTCAG